TTAGCTCCGTGTGACTTCTTCCTCTTCCCAAAGTTGAAAATTCAGCTAAAGGGAAGGAGATTTGAGACGATAGAAGAGATTCAGGCAGAATCGCAGATGGTGCTTGACAGGCTGACAAAGAAAGATTTCCAGGGATGCTTCCACACTTGGCAGGGGCGCTGGGATCGTTGTGTTCACTCCCAGGGGAACTACTTCGAGGGTGATGGATGAATTTAATACCTGAGATAAGTGTACGGGTTTTTATACGCGCAGTCTTGAAACTTTCCGATCGCACCTCGTATATCAGTAGTGAGTGTGTACGTTTAACAACGGAGCGAACGCCGCCGCACAGAATGTTATTTGATCGGCGAATACCCGCTCTGTCGTTCCTTTGCATAAACCAAACCGCAAAGAACCAAAGCAGAATCAATAATACGAACAGCAGACACTAAGTAAACGTAAACTGAGGTGGGCAATGTTAGAAACACAAAGTCCGCCAAGGTATTCAAATAGCGCGGCAAAGAGGTTACTTGCAAAATTTCAAAATTCACAACTGTCCGAGACCTGGGAAGTGTGAACATGTTAAAATATGCATAAGCACCAAGTGATAAAGATGTTTCAAAAACTTACTTGTAATTTATGTTCTCCTCTTAACGTAAAACACTACGTTTCACACTCAAACTGCACAAATGGTAACAGTATTAAGTGAAATATTATTATCAGCAGTGTTTTTCGAAAGCAGCTAACATGCTTCTGAACTGAAAATAATAATAATGATGATGACAAGCAATTCTCCTACTTTATAATGAACTGTCGCTTAAATTTTCCGAAGCACTCCCCATTTCTGACAGCACTGAATATTTTTACAAGCAACATTCTTTGGATCCAGGTTTTAAATGAGCAAATACATTCTCAAACAGCATATGTACAGTGCTGCATTGAGTAAACAGCAGCTACAACACAACAAATTGAATTTAGTTCAAAAAAAAATGTGATGCTGTCAACCGGTGATTACATTTCTGATTGAACGTGGCTTAAGGGACTTGAGGCCGGTCGTCTATCCAGGGTATTGGCTTCCCACAGTCAGCTTCATATACCGTGAGGGAGGTGGGAGTATCTAACTCAGTTTTAAAGAGTTTTGGGGAAATAATGGGGGAAGGAAGCATATTACAGGGTAACTTGGCCTCGAGTTGCTTCGGGCTAATTCGGGGCTATAGAGTCACTTACAACCGCTCACTTTTTGATACTTACCGACTGTTGGCTTCGAACAAGAAGGGCCTAGATCGTCACGTGGCCGATAAACTAGTGCGCCACAATTTTAAGACCAATTCCTACGTGTTTCTAAACAATTAACATCAATTTACAAAGTGTAGTGAGAGGAATAAGGTTTTCATAATGACTTGATATTCTCATCGACCTTGGCTACAATTCACGTACCATTTTATTCATTTAATTCTAAAAGGTTTTGACGACGGTAGTCTACACTTAAAATTATTCATTGTCAGGACTTTTTCCATCGTCTGTTCCTTAAAACCACGACGTCTCTGTCACTGGACAGTGACAGAGACTAGCTCTATCTAAGGGACCCAACAGAGTAGGTACCTCTCACCTGAAGACGGAGACTGATCCAGCCTCCGAAACGTCGTAGTTTTAAAGAACAGACGATGGAAAAAGTCCTGACAATGAATAATTTTAAGCATTTTATTCACATCTAAAGCCCGACATGAAACGTTTTCCTAACTGGCATTTTTCAAAAGATACAATTATACGCCAACACAACTACCTCAAGGTCTTTTTCATACCGACGTTAAACTTGTTCCCAGACCAATGTAACTAACAAGATAGAATCCGTTTCTTTTCAGACAGAGTTAAACACGACTAAAATATTGAATAATTTCTTTCATACATTCCTACAGATGACAATAACAAAAAGAATCAGAGTAAAATACGACAGACTGCTTGCCGCAGTAATTTATTGTTCGTTCGTTCGTTCATTCAATGCAGACCTAGTTGGATGCACTCACTGAGCACAAAGCACACAGTAAAACACGTGTATAACGGAATCGGAATGGGCCTTAACTTTATTTTTCGTCTTGGACAAGTTTCAGTCCATGACAAGTATGAGCGTCTGAATTTAAAAAAAAAAAACTGTAAGGAAACACCGCCACGATACTCGATGTCGATTGTGGCCTCTAGATTATGACGCCCTGTAGTGCTATTCCACGTGACATAGGGCTGATAGCGTCTCTGGGATGTTACGCAGTCTCGTCTGGTAGGAGTTTACCGACGTTTCTGAGATACTTGCTGGCACCATCATCAGGGCGACGAGTGAGTCGCGCGCGAGAAACCTTAGAAGGATTTTGAGGTTTTCGCGGTGGAGTCTGAAAATGGATGTCTTCCTAGGTTGTTGCGCCGTGTAGTCTGGTAGAAGAAACTTAGCTGGACCAATAGGGAAGAGGGTGAGGACTGGGTGAGCCCAAGAAAGCCAATGGAATAAAGGCTAACAACAGACTGACCAGGAGGATACAGACTACGCGGTGCGACGTCCCAGAAGACAGTCATCTTCATACTCGCCGCCGTGAAAACCTGATACCTCACATACAAATTACTACACGGCGTTTGAAACCGCAAGGCCATAATCCACACCTTCGCCGTCGAGAGATCTCGGACTTCGTAAAGATACACCCGAGAAAATTTTCTTACTCGTCAGCTTTCATCACCACACGCCAGTCGGCGTGTCACCGGGTGGCTTACCTCGCGGTGGCTGGGCTTCAGTGCCGGTGATAAAGCAGCCGTCCTCACTGCTACTGTAGCCCGCCGACCCGAAGCTGCTCCCAGAGTGCCGAAACACGTCGGGAACTGCGGGGGGTGCCACCTTCTTCACCTGCGGTACGGGTTTGGGCGGGCGACTCATCCCACCTACTGCAACAGACAATAGCATGGTTTCAATACCGTCACCTGACTTGGCGATGTTACAAACCAAAGACGTACAAACTACACACGAAAAAAGGCGTGTTGCTGTCACAGCGAGGAGTGGCAGGCCGTTTGGGACACTGGAAAACCGAAACCAGAAAGTCGCCCTCATAATAATATTGGTCAACATTTCGCCGAGTGAGTAGGTTCATATACCCAACTACAAACAACACAAGGGCAAGATCTAGTTGAGTTTAAAATTTTGAAACTGAATATCACAAATACTGAATAAAATTTTTCTTGGATATTATCCATCGTCTAGTAAATATAAAACGTAAAACGACGTTTCGGAGATGGGACTCTATCTCCGTCTTCAGGTTCCTACACAGTTGGGCCCACT